GCAGCCTGCCCGGCACCCTGTGTCCCCAGCCGGGTCCTGTCCCCGTGTGACTGCAGCGGCCGCTGCCTGTCCCCACGCAGGGGGCCTGGGACCGGGGAGGAGCAGAGCTATTTCTGTCGCTGTCCCTCCCATTGAAAACAATTTACAAAGGACTTGCTCTGGAGAACGGTTGGGATCCGGCAAATTAGACCCAGAGAGAAAGGAGACGGTCCTCTGTGCCCACGTTCCTGCCTTCACCCTTCCCTCGCCCTCCCTTTTCTTTGCTCCTGCTACCTCTTCACCCCCCTTTGTTTCTCCCTTCCCTCTCCCTGGCCGCCCATTCCCTCCTGGTCCTCCTCCTGCTCCTCGGGGAGCCTGCCGTGTGTGAGCCGCCTCCAATCTGACTGCTCTGCACGCCTTTCCCTTGTGACCTTGGGTACGTTTCTGCGCTTTCCTATTCCTTCCCGCCCACCAGGACAGATACTGAGGCATGTGTCTCAGACTTCGTTCTCAGAGTTAAATAAATAACGTAGAGCACTCAGCGTAGGCTCGGCAATCAATGCGCGTGAACGTCAGATGCGGCCATTAAGTTCTGGTTTCCTTGGAAACCCAGTTCCTCCTCATGCTTTTCACCTCCATCGAGGAGCCTAGGATGCAGCCGTCACCACCCAGCTCCTGCGCTGCCCTTTGCACAGCCCGTCTACAGAGTTAGCCTCTATGTCCACTGAGCCCCTCCCCGGCTCCTCGCTGTGTCCTCTGTTCTCGGCCCCATGAAGAGCAGCCGGGGCCCTCCTTTCAGCCATATTGTTGAGTGACGGCTGGATGCTGAGTGACGGCCGGATGCTGAGTGCTGAGTGACGGCCGGATGCTGAGTGACCGGATGCTGAGTGACGGCCGGATGTTGAGTGACGGCCGGATGCTGAGTGACGGCTGGATGCTGAGTGACGGCTGGATGTTGAGTGACGGCTGGATGTTGAGTGACGGCTGGATGTTGAGTGACGGCTGGATGCCAGGGAAACAGAGCGTCGGGCATTGACACAACAGGCGCTGATGATAAGCAGCAATGTTGTTGGTCCTCACAAAGCTAATGGCCTCAGCACACACCCGCTGTGAATCATCTCTGAATCAAGCAAATGGAGTTGTGTCACTTCAGACTGTGTGAGTTCAGCTGGGCATGAGAGCGTTCATCTGAAGGGGGTTGCTCTGATGACATTTTGGCCCTGAGTCTGACTGTGGCTGACGTATGTGGGGTTTTCCTGTGGAGGCAGTTCACATTGCTATTATTTCATATTAGTTGCAGGTGCACAGCCCTGTAGTTAGACAATCATATTCTTTACAGAGTGGTCACCCTGGGGATATTTCCAGTGCCCACCTGGCACCATCCATACTCATTACAATACTAGAGGCCCAGTGCACGAAATTTGTGCAGGGGAGGGTCCTCAGCCCAGCCTGCACCCTCTCCAATCCAGGCCTAAACCAGCAGTCAAACATCCCTCTCACAATCCAGGACCACTGACTCCTAACTGCTTACCTACCTGTCTGCCTGATCACCCCTAACTGCCCCCCACCCCGCTGGCCTGGTCCCACCCAACTGCTCCCCCCTGCCAGCCTGGTTGCCCCTAACTGCCCCCTCTGCTACCTGAGTCACCCCCAATTACCCCCCTACCCCCCTGGTCTGATCACCCCCTCATTGCCCCCGTCTGCCAGCCTGGTTGTGCCTCACTGCCTCACCCCACTGGCCTGGTCACTCCCAACTGCCTCCCCTGTGGGCCTGGTTGCCCCACAGAGACTGCTGCTCAGTCATTTGGTCACCCCTCACTAGTCCCCCTGCCGGCCTGGTCCCCCCATGCAGCCTGTTCAGTCATCTGTTCGTTGCAATGGTCACTGAGGCTTTTATATAGAGATTAGTGACACTTTCCCTGTGCTGGACTTCACAACTTCGTGACTATTTTGTAGAAGGTTTTTTTTTTTTTTCTTTTCTTTTCTTTTTTTCTCTTTTCTCCTCTATCGTCTCATTTCCAACTTTAAAAACTGAAGCTCTGTTAACCTGCAGTGGCCAGAGCAGCCTGGGGTGCTGTGGGGAGGGGTGTCTCCCAAAGTCCAGTTTTTGTTTGTAAACTGCTGTTACCACAGTGAGTCCTGAGCCCACGCTCCCACCGCCCCTCCCAGGCGGTAGAACCTGGCGCAGGAATGGCGAGTGCAGTTCTCAGAGTGTGTGTGACCCCGAGGCCGACAAGCAGCCCCACAAACGGACCCGTCACCTGCCTTAGCTCGCCATCCTTCATCCCTCGTTCACTCGGTTCTCTGGAGGGCCCAGAGGTCCTCCATGGCTGCACAGCCTGGAGCCGGTCTCCACAGCGGTCCCAGAGGAGGAGGGTGAGCTGGCCAGGGCCCTGGGCTCCATCCTGACCGCACGGTCTGCAGAGGCCCGCCCTCGTCCCCGCCTGTGGGTTTAGGTACCCGCACCCACTTCGCTCAGATCCCAACCTGCATCTGTGGCCAGGCCCTCCCTCCTCTGTGCCTCCGTTTCCTCCTCTGGAAACACCAGCAGAGGCTTTGCAGAAGCATGTCCGGGACTGGCTTCTGCAGCTTAGGGCTAGGTGGGAATAAATGTTTTGTTTATGACAATTATAACCACTAAAGGGTTGTTTGTGCCTGAGACACTGCCTGGCACACAACGGTAGCATGTCTTTCTGGCGAGGGGACAGAAGCTGTGGGACGCCTACCCCAGGGACTATTAGCGGCTCTAAGAAGAAGGATCTCTTGTCCTTTGGGACAGAATGCAGGGACCTGGAGGGCATTGTGCTAAGCGGAATAAGCCAGTCAGAGAAAGACAAGTACCACCTGGTCTCACCCATATGTGGAATCTAATGAACAAAGTAGATCCAGAGACATAGAAGCATCAAACAGACTATGGCATCTCAGAGGGGAGGAGAGAGGGCAGAGGGGAGAGATGAACAGAAGACCTTGTATGCACATATGCACAGCCCATGAACACAGGAATAGGGGGTGAGGGCTGGGGTGGCTGAAGGGAGTCCCTGGGAGGAAAGGGGGCAGCTGAGTACTGTCAACAGCAGAGATAACGTTTTGAATGTGGTCTCTGGTCGCCTTCAGGAGTGTCAGCCCATGTTTGTTACTTACATTGTGACCAGACTCCACGAGGAAGGAGGCTGGGCCGGCGGCGGAGGGCTCCGCGTGGCCTGTAAGGCCGGGAGGGTGTCTGCCCCCAGCGGCCAGCGAGCCCAGCACCCGGGCCCTGTCCTGGGGGAGGGACGGCACGCACCTGCATTTTGAGCTGGGACTATGAACATTTCCCCAAAACACTATGAGATCTGGGTTTATTTGTGTCTTTTTCTCCAGAGAAGGCTGAGCTCTCTCATCAGATCCGTAGAAGAGACCCTTTCAGACCCTGTGTGCTTGACTCACGTGTGAGTCTCATGGTGAGAAGCAAGAAGTCAGGAAGGGGGCTTGTGGCGACAAATGTGGGACCCGGGACCCTGAAGGCAAACATTCCTGCAACAGGGATCTGCCCCTGGGGCTCTGCAGCCCCTCTGCCTCCTCCCACCTGCAGAGGGAGCACTGCCTCTCCTGAGCCCCAGCCCTCCGCTCCTTCTGGCCCTGCGGGGCCGATGTCCACACGCAGGTCACTTGCATGCAGAGCATGCTTACCCTGGTTACTAAGATGCGTGTGTCACCAGCCAGTATGGCTCAGTGGGGACCTAGGAACCAAGAGATTCAATTCCTAGTCAGAGCACAGGCCCAGGTTGCCAGCTTGATCCTCGGTAGAGGATGTGCCGGAGGCAGCCTATGAGTCATTCTCTCTCATCACTGATGTTCCCCCTCTCTTCCTTTCTCTCTGAAGTCAGTAAAAACATTAAAAAAAAAAAAAACAAAACAAAGATGCCTGTTTCCTGGGCAGCACGCACCCAGGACACACCTGGGCAGGCACAGCGGGGGCACTGGAGCTCTCCATGAAACGCTGGCGGAGTGAAACCACACGCAGGAGCAAAGCACGCTGGGAAATGGCACTTCGAGGTCGCCTTCTCGCTTGAGGCCACACACCTGCTGGGAGGAGCTTTCCGAGAGTCAGGCACCACCGACCGCCGCCCAGTCCACGTCACACCCCGAGGCCTGAGCCCTCATGTGTGAGCAACGCAGGGACATGATGGGGACCCAGGACACAAGAGAAACTGCAGAGACAGGAGGTCCGAGGAGACACAGCTTTAATACACCGGAGTCGTGGGCACCACCCGGCGCTCCACTGGAGCCCCTGGCTTCACAGCCGCGTGCTCACGCGTGTGATGGCGGGAGGGGCACCGGGAGGATGAGGACAGGCTTCCCGCTCAGGACCCTCGGGGGGGAGGGGTCCCCGTCCGTGAATGATGCCGAGCAGCGAACGCTCGTACAAAACATCCTCATAAACAACGCCTTCATGTCGCTCCTGCCTCGGAGAGGGTCAGCAGCAGTTCCGGTCACGACAACCCCTCCGTCCTGTCCTCTCCCGCTCCGGCGCCTGGGACCACCGCCCGCGCAGCCCGTGAGCAGGTGCGGCTCCGGAGCTGCCAGGCTTCCCGGTTTATGGAAACGCGTCCCTTTCAGCATGTGGCCGTCCCAGGCGGCTTAGAGCTGAGGCGTGTAGCACCTCACACTAATGGTGAGCGCCTGGCCCCTCTGTCCATCCTACAGGGACATGTGTATCTGTGTGTGCACACACATGTGCACATGCGTGTACATACATGCCCACACGCATATACACACAATAGATCAACCTCATCTAAACGCCTAGCTATGGAGGAGGTCCCGTCTCAGAGTCCCAGGAGCCCGTGGATGTCACAGGAGGTGGACCCGCCCGCCCGCCACCCTGGGGCCAAACCGCTGAGCGGAGAACGGCCCTGGGGAAACACGGACAACGAGGGAGGCTTTCTGATGAGCGGGACAGACTACAGGTAGTGCGCACGGGGCAGTGTGGGCCCCGGCCCGGGCGGTCCCCGAGCAGTCCAGCCAGCAGCCCCGGGCGAGGGTTAGGCGCAGCGGGGGGCCAGCGCGGGGCAGTCCGCCGGGCGCTTGGCCCCTTTCTGCTTCTCGGACCCGCGGCCAGAAGGGTCAGCCAGCTCCAGGTAGAAGCGGGACTTGAGGAAGCGGCGGTAGGAGTCCTTCTCCATCAGGTGGAAGATCTTCCTCTGGGCGTCGTCAAAGCAGCTGGCGGTGGGCGCCAGCAGGTTCCGGCGGGTCTGCTCCCTGGTGCCCGAGTCCAGGTTGACCTAACGGGGATGGGGGGGCGGGCAGTGAGCACGGCGCCTGGAGGCCGGGGCAGACCTGGGCCCCGCACACATGAGCCCGCTCTCTCCCGCGTGCTGGGAGGTCCGTCCAGACACGCGCTGCCTGGGGACAAAGGCCTGGCTCGGCCGGCCATGCGGGATGCCAAGCTGATAGCAAGTGGGTCCACGGCTCCTTTTGGGACTCTGGCCTGCAGGGCCGACGCCGAATGCCCCCCCAGGGAACTGCCGCCACCAGAGGGCTGCGCGCACCCACCTCCTGGGCCGCCTGGGCCGAGATGAACTCCGCGTAGACCTCCAGGGCCTTGGGGCGCAGCTGCGAGGGCGCGAGGGTGAGCTTGTACTCCTCACAGCGCAGCCAGAACTCCAGGTTCTCCTCGCTGTGCTCCGACCGCAGGAAGGCCCGGAACGCCGCCAGCCCGCCTGCGACCGAGAGAGCGAGCTGTCACCCACGGGGGACGAACCAGGCGCTGGAGGGAACAGGCAGGGTCTGAGCCACCCCCACCCGCCTTTGTGGGGTCACTTGGGGCCAGGTAACCCCAATCTGCTTGTTTCCATTGGGTCCCAGCTGCACACCCTGCTTCGGGGGTTTGGGAAAGAGACACTGAAGTGGATTCTGCAAGAAATCTTGGTATTTGGAGTTTTTTCCTCTACGCTTTCCCCACGGTTTCTGCATGAACCACCCACTGCAGGTGACCGAGCTCGGGGTCACACGCCTAACAGGCCGACTCCCCTGAGGCTGTCCTGTGTTGTGTGAGATGCGTGTATGCAGGGCGCCGTGACCCCAACCCAGAGGGGGTCAGACTCACATTCATGGCTGATCAGGTTTTCCAGCGACTCAGCCCACTTTTTGACTTCCTCTTGGCTCACCCTGGAGAAGAAGAGTTTCAATGCCATTCACACCGGAGAAAACGAAGGCCTAAACACAGCGCAGGTATTTCCCTCTCGCCCGAGCTGGCCTGGTGTTGGTTAGAGCACCCTCCCCCCAACTCACATACACACATTCTTACTTAACTGGGGCCGTGGCTTCCCCAGCTCTGCCACGCCCTGTCCGCAGGCAACTTCCCCCCCTCCACCCACCGCGGCTCTCCAGCCTCCCAGCGGCCCTCCCCACCTCTCTTACCTGGGACAGACCACCAGCTTGTCCTTCCTGCTGTGGGAGGAGCTGTGCTCACAGGAGTCCGACTTCTGCAGCAGCGCCCCCAGCCGGTGCTTCATGCCTTTGGCGCTGCACAGAAGGGGGGCGTGTTAGCGGGCCTGGGCTCTTTAGAAGGCACCTGGCTGCACTTAGGAAGAGGAGCTGGAGGTGTGCGGATTCCCAGGACAAGGAGCCCTACGCCCTGCCTGGGCCCAGTGAAAACCCAGATAGCAGCCCTTCCTTCCCGGGTGCCGGGGGGCCGCCCTCCGCTGCCAGCTGCCCTTCCACCAGCAGCACAAGGTGTGGCTCATTGAAAATGGGCTCATCTTGGAGATGCAGGAACTGGGGAGCTGCAGGGGCTGTTAGGGCCCCTTCCTGAGGCGCCACCTCCTGGACAGCAGTTGCTGTTGCCACCGCTGGCTGCTGGCCCCAGGACTCACAGGCACCTGGGGAAGGTGGCCTGTGATTCCAGCCCAGGGAGGTGGGCCGCGCCCTGCGCCTGCGCCTGCGCCTGCGCCTGCGCCTGTGCGAGGTGTGCAGTTGGCAAAGGGCTGGACAGGGAGCCCCAGCCCCTCAGCTGCACTGCTTCCCTGTGCACTCTCTGCGCGGCAGGCACTTCACTCCCTAAGGGCACTGGGGGCTTCAAAAGAACCTGGAGAAGCAACAGGAACAGGACTCAGAGACAGACCTTCCAGCTCAACCTTCTTACTCTTTAACTAGAGGCTCGGTGCACGAAACTCATGCACTGGGGGAGGAGGGGGTCCCTCAGACTGGCCTGTGCCCTCTCATAGTCCGGAGCCCCTTGGGGGATGGCAACCTGCCACCTTAGGCCTGCCTAAGCCAACAGGCAGGCATCACTGCCACGATCCAGGACCCCTCGCTCCTTACCCCCCGCCTGCTCACTGCCCCTGACTGCTCGGCTCTCTCTCCTCCGCGCTGCCATGGAGGGGAGAGCTCCCGCCACCGCTGCTGTGCTCGCCAGCCCTGAGCCCGGCTTCTGACTGAGCGGCGCTCCCCCTGTGGGGCCACCAGGGGGCAGCTCCTGCATTGAGCATCTGTCCCTTGATGGTCAGTGCACATCAGAGCAACTGGTCTCTCTGGTCATTCCGCTGTAATGGTGGCTTAGGCTTTTGTTATATGATTAGTCCTTTGCTTGGTCTCCTTTTTATAAAAGCCCAGCAATAGCTCTATAAGAGAAGTGTCATTTGGAAAGAAGTGCGTGGCTGGACGTTCCTATCAGGGCGGAAAGCACAGCCGTGGGTGAGGAGCAGCATGTCTCGGCCGTGCCATCAGTGGGTGTCCGGGTGCGTTTCCCCAGTGGGCCGGGGCTGCCCTCAGCGGTGTCCTCTCTCCCTACAGGACTTTCCCTCTCTGCCTCCCCCCGGTCGTGGCGCAGGCTCCTCAGCAATGTCAGAAAAGGTCGTCAAGGAGGCTGTGGGACTGAGGCTAAGGGGACCCTCTGGACAAGTGGACGGCACTCGCCAGAACGGCCTGCTGAGTTCTGCCAGGCACCGATCACCACACAGCCCCCTCATGCAGAGATGGCCGCGCCTGACCTACAACACATGCCACCACCATGCTAAAAGCCATGAGGACTCCGTGGCTCGCTGGAGCCAGGACACCTGCATTTGCTCTGCCTGCACCTCACGTGCGCGCACACACACACACACACACATACACACACACACATCAATGTGACCTTGAGCCCAGGCACAGAGCTGGGATGAAGGGCTGGACGAGCTGGTCTGTGGCTCCCGGAGAGGACAGACCAGCAGCTCACCCTCTGATGGGGGTCTACCACCACCGCACCCCTCCCCCGCTGCTCTGGGGGGCAGAGCTCAGCAGCCTTTCCTCGGCGAGCATACCGCCTCCCACCCCGCGCTCTGTACAATTTTCCGTGAACTGGTGAAGCCTGGAGTCTTGCTCCCCTGGGGTCAGGCATGGGGGGGGGGGGGAGGGGGGCTCACTATCTTACTCTCTGCCAGAGCCTCCTGCTTCTTGTCAAACCCCACTGGCACTTCTTCCCCCGGGGTGGCCGAGCCCCGGAAAGCCGCGCCTGGGATGCACAGACACGGTGCTTCTGGGAGATTTCCAACTTGAACTTAAGGTGTTGGCGTTTGCAGGGAGAGGAGAAGAGGATGCTTTGTCTGCAGACGGCTTCCTGCCCTTCACGGTGAGTTAGCTCCTGTAACACGGGTTCGCTGTCCTTCAGCTGGCTAGTCTAGAAGCATCCTCTGGAAACATTTCCTTACATCTTTTTATAGACACACTACCTGATAAGACCATGTTTGTGGGGTGAGACCTTCCACCGAGCCCTGCGCCCTGCGATGACCAAGGCATGTGACCCCCGCACTCCGGGGCGTCTGGAGCAGGCAGGTCACCGTCATTAGCTTATGGGACACGGCGGTGCGGAGCCTCAGCCCACACGGCACGGTGCATCCCAGGAGGGGCCGCCCGCACCCTGGGCGTCTTCCCCCAGAGGAGACCTAGAGTGTCTGCCCTCTGCGAGCCCCCGGGCGCTCCTCAGCACCCTCACAGCTTAGATAAGCGGACCCCACCTCCCTGCTGACCTGGCCAGAGGTTCAGTCCTCAGAACCAAGGCCGAGCTCAGCATCACCAAGGTGCCCAAACCAGGGCACACACACTTCTTCAGTCACCGTTTCTAGCTGGTCTTGGAGGAAAGCGGGGCGCGCAGCCCCACTGACCACAGGGATCCCAATCCCAGAGCATGGTCCACAGCAGGCTGGGTAACAGCACGTGTGACAGGGTCGGCTGATGGTCGTCTTACCTCCTCAAGCAGGAAGCGGGCAGCCCTGCCAGCCCTTTGCACATCTTCGCTGCGGGGCTGGGGTTCGCAGGCAGGAAAGAGACAGGAGGAAAGGAGGGGCTGGATGCCTGAGAGCTGACTGTGGCTTTGTTGGTCCTGAAGATGCTTTCAGGATCCGCAGCCTGCGGGTCTCATTTAAAGCCCAGCCACCGCCAGGCAGCCAATCATCAGCACTGTAACAAAGCCGCTGCAGCCAATCAGCGTTGCTGTGACACCCCCACTTGGGCCTCTGCAGCCTCCGCTTGGAGATTAGGAGATTAGGAGGCGGGACACAGCTTCCACCGTGCGGGGCGAACCCACAGGAAAGCCGCCTCCTGCGCAGCAGATGCACAGAAAACAGTTCCTCCATGCCTCTACCCATGCCAGAGGCTCTGAATTTCTGGAAAAGGGCAAAGGGCACCTCGTGTTGCTGCAGACCATGGGGTTCCCTCATTTTCTGTTCCAGCAATGCCAAGGGCAGTTGCCCCCCACAAGGAGAGTCCCAGCAGGACTGGGGTTTAGCTGGGGCTGACTCACCTTCCATTTTTTTGGATTAGAAGTAACAGACCGCATGGTCCCAGCTCTCACCCTCCTGTTTCCAGGCTGGGGTCTGCAGAGGTGGCTGGAGGGTGGCCCTGGCCACCCAGGGCTGAGAGGGCAGCTGCAGGCGGGCCCGGAGGACAAGCCACCCCAGCTGCTCCGCCTGGCTGTGGATACTCTTCTAGAACTCTTGCTCAGAACAGAATTCAGCCCAGCAGTGACAATCTGTCTGCCTCCAGCAAAGAGCTGCCACACAGCAGCCGGGAGGTGTGTGTGAGTGTGTGTGTGTGTGGGGGGGGGGGGGGGGGGAGAGGGTGAATTAACAAATAAAATATAAATAGTTTAGATCCTAATGTCTATGCATTCTGTCTTCAAACAGAATTTCAAAATATTGGGAGAGAAAAGTGTGTGTTTCCTCGCACAGCACAGTCTTCAGAGTGAGCACAGGCGACTTGACCCAGGTTCCTCTGAGCGCCTGGCAGCCTGGGTTGTCTACAGCAGGATGGACTGCTGGGCCCCAGTCGCAGCCCGCTGCCGGGTCTGCCCCACACGTTTGTTCCTGTGTCGGCCCCAGCAGCTTTCTGAATCAGACAGGCTCCTGGGCACAGTTCACATGAACTGCACTTTGCCAGGAAGAAGTAGAGACAGCCCTGGCCGGTTTGGCACAGGGGACAGAGCATCGGCCTGCGGGCCAGAAGGTCCCGGGTTAGATTCCGGTCAAGGGTCCTAGTCGGGGCTTGTGCAAGAGGCAACCAATCCATGTGTTTCTCTCACATCGATGTTTCTCTCTGTCTTTCCTCTCTCCTCTTCTCTCCCTAAAAACAGTGGGAAAATTTCCTCAGGGGAGGATTAACAAAACAAAGCGGAGACATCTAGTGATTAGGGGAAGAGGATGCAGAAGGCTCCCTTGAAATGTGAAGGCAATGGCAAGCACAGCAAGGAATCGGCTGAGAAATGTAGGCAGGTGGAGGGGCCATAATCGCCAGGAGATGTATTCACAATGTCAGAAAAGCCTCCCATGAAGGTGAAAACATTTATTAGGTTAGTTATGGGCCAACCTGCCTCTGAGGGTCCACATAGGACACATGGCTTCTCTGGGGGCCTTGCCGAAAGGGTGACGGTGCCTTGCCAAATGGCAGAGAGCACCAACCTCAGGGCAGCCGCTCAGAAATGATATCCAAGAGGAGAGACATTACAGGGAGAGAAGGGCCCTGGCTGGTGGCTCCATTGACTGGAATGCCGTCCTGTATACTGAACGGCCACAGGTGTGATTCCCCGTCAGAGCGCATAGGTTTGGGGTTCGATTTCGAGTGGAGCGCATATGGGAGACAACCAGTGTTTCTCTCCTACATCGATGTTTGTTTCTCTCTTTCCCTCCCCATCTCTCTAGAATCAATAAACATGCTCAGGTGAGGATAAAAAAAATTAAAAGGAGAGAAGGTCACCCAAGAGAGTGACCATTGAAGGCATTGGATTCGAGGCACATGGATGAAGACCCAGCAAGAGCTGACATCTTGCATTGAGATCAAGGGAAAGCCTGGTTCGTCCTACGTCAGCTAGGAATAGCTCCAACAGACAGGCTGAATGGGGTCTAAACGATCCAGACGAACATCCCATTTCAGCAGAAAGGAATGGGCAGGGGCATGACTTGCCAAAGTCACAGCTTCTGACAGAGCTGCTTCTTAAAGGGCCCGGCAGGGAGTGGCTGCGGGTGAACCTGGTGGATGACGACACACAGAGTTAGTTGTGTGTGCTCCCTTCTCCCAGGACTCGCTCTTCCTCCCTGAGAGCCCAGTGGCTGCCACATTCACTGCCGGGTCACAGAAGCCAGCCCTCTGCTCACCTGTCCACGCATGTCACCTTTGTCTCTCTAATTGTTTCTTTAATTAGGCATTTTAAAATCCTCCCCGAGGATATGCTTTGGTTTATTTATTTATTTTTAGAGAGAGGAAGGGAGAGAGACATCTCTATTAGAAACGTCAATTAGCTGCCTTCCATATGCACTCAAACCTGCAACCTAGATATGTGCCCTGACCAAGAATCGAACCCACAACCTTTGGTGAATGGGATAATGCTCCAACCGAAGGCGCCCCTGCCAGAGCACCCTAGCCTCATACTTTCCAGAGCATCCAGGGAGCTTTCCACACGCTGGCTTAGCTTTCACTCTGGGACCCGGCTGCTGAGGAGGCAGGGACTAGTCCAGCATGATACGCAATATCCCCACCCTCTCTCTGACACACAGAGCATTATCTAATTATTTATTCCTTTCAGACATGTCTTTGGAGCACCTACGCTGTGGCAGGTGCTGGGAGTATGGAGAACAAGCAGACAGAGCCCACCCTGGTGGGGTCACCCCAGGAGTCACCCAGAAACAGATAAATAATTCCAGATCTTCCCAGGCCCTCAAGGAAATCCACAAGTGATGGGACAAGGCAACTGGGTGACAAGGGTTCCTGGAGCTGAGGTGGCAGGAGAGGCAAACAGAGAGGAAGAGGTGGTGTCAGCCCTGTGATTGGATGAATGTGCAATAAGGAGCAATGGAAGGTGCATCTTACGGAATAATAGACAAACATGCAAATTGGCTGTACCTCCACAACACCCACAGCCAGTTAGAGTGAGTATGCAAATTAGAAGACCAACCAACAATGGCGGCCCCTCAGCTGCTCCAGGTGTGGAGTGGCCAGATGAGGCAGAACGCCTGCCATGAGAGGAGGGTGGGAGGCGAAGGGATCTACAGGAGCAGAGTGCCTCAGGCGAAGTTGGCAGACTCTGGCCTGAGCGAAGGCCTGGGTCCCAGGTGCCAGAGGAAAACTGCTGGAAGCCATGGGAAGAAAGGCCTATTGCACGAATCTCTTCGTACAACGGGCCTCCGGTAGGAAATAATATTCCAAATATCGGCAGGAGCCAGTGAAAGTGCCTTGATCCAATTGGGACAGAGTAGGAGGGGTGCGGCAGCTGGAGACCTGAGCACGGGGAGACGGCACAGCCTGCAAAGAACTTGCAGGACCTGGAGGCCATCGTACGGGGGCTGGCCCTTCTCAATGGAGTGGAAACCCACCAAAGAGCAGGTGCTGGGCACGAGCTGGGCTCTGGCTGTGAGGCTGGTGGGAGGCGAGTGAGGGCCTTGGAGCAGGCAGGCCCGTCAGCAGAGCCAGTGGCTGGCCCAGCGTCTGTGTTGATGGATGTTTATCTATAAATATGATTAGGCACCGTGTACTCGACATTCTAGGAGGCGCTGGTGACCAAACGTGAGTCAGAATGGCCTGTGCCTCCAGGAGCTCACAGGCACGGGGAACTAGGCTGGCTGACGTCACTGTAAACTCGCTCACACAGACCTTGAGGAAGGCAGAGGACAGGGAAGAGCCGGCCTGTGACATGCGGGCTGGGCTCGCAGAGGCCTGCTGGTGGGAGCGGGGACTCAGTGGTGTGTTCAGAGGAGAGAAGCTGCAGGGCACGCGGTGGAGGGGCCCGGACTGAGCGGGCAGGCCCCTGGCTTCCGCACTCGGCATTAATAACGCACTGGAGCTTCACAGTGCATCCTGAAGGAAGGGCCCGCACTGACCCCATTTACCAAGGAGACACCAGGCCCTAAGTCAGCTACCTGAGGCTGAGGTCTACTGACCAGAGGAGGCAGGAGCCCACGGAGGTAGTGAGTGTGACTGGAGCCGCGGAGAGGGGAGAGGAGTGACCTGAAGCCATTTCAGGTCACTGGGAAGTGGGGCGCAGTTATGTGAACCACACTTCCGCCGATGAGTGAAAAGTGCAGGCGGAGCGTGTAGGTGTGAGGGCAGTGGGACAGGGCTTGGCTTCCCTTGGCTTCCCAATGGGCCCAGCGGTAGGTTAGACGGGGGACAGGAGGGCAGGAAGGCAGGTGGGCCTCACTTCAGACCGGGTGCCACCCTGAGTTTGGGGCCAGGCCTCCCCTGAGGTCCGTGTCTGCGCAGCCGGGAGGCGGGAGTGTGCGTTCCAGGTTTGTGTGTGACATTTTTGCTATTTGTCTTTCTGAATGTCGAGCTGATGAGAGGTGGGGTTTCAGGAGAAAGTGTGGACGTGGGAGAAATGGCCCTGCTCCCGCTTTCCCTGTGGCCTCCCTTCCTCTCGGCTCCCTGGACCCCGTCTCCTTCTCCACCCCAGACAGGCCCTGACCGAGAAGCTCCTGGTCCTGCCCCGACCTGTGAGGCCGCCTCTGAGACACCCGCAGTGTTTCCTCAGCTTCCAAGATTAGTTCTCGTTTTGATGGGGGAAATAAATGTATGTGCTTTTCCCTTTGGAGAAAACGGGATGAGTTTGCTTTTAGAAATCTTTGAAAAGGAAGCTCATTACTGTTGGGTTAGTCATCCAAGCTATTCTATTGGGACTCTACCTTCCTGACCGGAATTCCCTCGGATTAACTGGGAAAGGAAGGAGTGGCTCCTGAGAGGCTCCTGTGGGGCCCTGGCGGGGTTGGAGCCCTGGGGACGGGCCTGGGCTGGGCCAAAACAGCCCT